GATAATACTGATGATAATCATAGGAGGAGTGCGTTTTTGGACGAATGTATTTGCATTTGGAAAGGTCCAGGGGAAATAAGGCTGCTGCTTTTTATGTCTGAGATTTTCCGCATGACTTGCTGCCACCCAGCCAAGAGATGGCACCTCCCAAAGCACACGTGCCCAAACCATAATAAAGTGCATGCCCCACAGCATCCAGTTCCCCCAGCGCACATGGTAAAATCATCATGACGTTCATGTCCGACCGCATACGATTCCCAAACCACACATGCCCGAACCATAATAACGCCCATGTTCGCAAGCATTCGATTCCCAGAGATCACATGCCCAAACCATAATATAGCGTTCATATATGATTCCCCGAAAGCATGCGAGCCCAAACCCTGGTAATGTTCATGTTTGAGAGCATATGATTCCCAGAGTACGCGTGCCCAAAGCATGATAACGTTCATGTTCGAGAGTATCCATTTCCCAAAGCACACATGCCCAAACCATCATAACATTCAGGTTCGAGAGCATCCCTTTCCCAAAGGCCACATGCCCAAACCATCATAACGTGTGCGAGGGCATCCCTTTCCCAAAGGCCACATGCCCAAACCATCATAACGTGTGCGAGAGCATCCCTTTCCCAAAGGCCACATGAGAAACCATCATAACGTTCATGCTCGAGAGCACACGGTTCCCAGAGCAAACATGCCCACACCATAGTAACGTTTATGTTCGACTGCAGAGTTCTGCTTTGCTGCGCTGTGTGCAGCCTAGGGGTAAGCGGGTACTTATTGCCACTAGGCACACATGTGGAAGTGTGCGGCCTGCTAGCTGGGGATCTGCTGCTTTCAGGTTTCCCATTGTGATCAGGTCTTCATTCATGTGTAGACTTGTTGATGCTGCAAGAAGGCCCTCCCAGTGATTGTGTACCAGGATTGGCAGGAAATGACTCACTCACCCTGTTTTGAAGCTGCACACTCCTAAGGAACTGTGGACCCAGCTTCGGGCGTCGGCCACAGAGTCTATGCCCGGATCTGGAGACATATTCTTGGCACAGGAGAATTCTCTCCAACTACAGTTGCTGAAGTGTGGTGCATATCTTGAAGTGAGTGCGAAGTGAAAACCAGCATGAGAGTATTTCCGGAATTTTTTGGCTCATGCACGTATGAGTGCCACACCTGCCAGCGTATTTGACAAGCGAAGTCGTCGTCGTAGTGTAGTAGTAGTCGTAGTAGTAGTACTACTACTACTACTACTACTACTACTAGTAGCACTAGCCGCCGCCGCGGCGGCGGCGGTGGTGGTAGCAGGAGCAGAAACAGTACGGGTAGCAATAGTAGCAGCACTGTGGCGCAGCAGGATATTATACCAAGACATAACAAGATAAACACCCGAACGGGGTACGGGGTCCAGTGCACATTATTTTTGAGTCCCGTGGGTTTAGCCCTTTAGGATCTTTTAGGGTTCCTCAGGGTTGAGAGTTCAGAGTTTTGGGGCGTTTAGTGTTTAGGGTTCAAGTCGAGATTAACAGTTTGGGTTGAAGGTCTTTTAGGATTTCAGATCTTGTCACGAGTTTGGGGTTAGTTTTCCAACTAGGGCATAGGGCTGTTTGGTTTCGGGTTTGGGTTGAAGATTTCTCAGGGGCGGATTAGGGTTCAGGGTCTCGCCACCCAGGTCTGAGTTTAGGGTTTCTGGGTTTCGTGTTGCTAGTCCTCAGATGCGCGTTGTGGGCGTGGTCGTTATCGCGAACCAGCCGGAACCGCCATTCCCTCATACCCCTTAGATAGACTTCATGTAGCTCACCCCAAAGCCCACTTATTTGGGCGCTTACATACACGGGAGTTTCTCAATATCCTTGAAAATTGCCTGAGAGCCCCATATCGGCTGCTGCCAGGTAGCTGCTGCTGAGCCTTTAGGAGGCTTTCATCAGCGGCGCTGCTTAGCCCAAAAAGGGGGCTGCCCCTGCAAGTAGCTTAGGATTTATGAATCTCTGGTTTCAGGGGTTCAGACGTGAAGGGTTTTGGTGTTGCTGGTGTTTTGCTTGGGTTTTGGAACATGGTAAGTTTAGATTTTGGGTGGTTTAGGGGTGATGGTCTAGGGTGGGATTGAAGTTTTTGGGGTGTGTAGTGTCGGACTTTGTACATAGTTATCAGGAAATCAATAGGTCAGGATTGGCAACAACATTCTATCCCCGGTTCCGTGTTGTGCAGACTTGAGCCGCGGACTTCTGTCTTTGGGGCGCTGCGCCATCGTGCTGCCTTAGCGCGCTTTGCCAAGTACCACCTGAACAATGCTCGTACACATGGACCATTCTTAGATATCTTTAAATCGTCGTGTTGGGATAACGAATTACAATACGACACTTGGAGGTTTTGGGTACCAGAATTAAAGAATGCATGCATGCAAGAGAAGGAATTCATGAGGGATCTCAGCCTCGGGCGGCACATTCGAGGAAGAGGACTCGGATGGGGTGCTTGCCTGGCTCGACCAGGCAGGGCTCGGGTTCGGAATCTGAGATTGCAGGATATTGATCGGCTTGAAGTTTTGCTTTTGGCTTTAGGGCCTGAGGGATAAAGCTCCACGGGTTCAAGGGAAGGCCTTGGGAGATAACGCGCCGGCTTTCGGACTCCATACTATGCACCGGCGCTCTGGCGTTTGAGACGTGCACATGTCTCGCACCTACAATGGGATGCCTGCATCCGAGACTGGGATCCTGCCACGACTAAATGTTCTAAACTGTCTGTTATAATGTTTGAATTGAATCCCAACACGAGACACCAGTGTTGGCAGTTGCCCAAGCACGAGTTTTCTGAATACCACCCTGCAGGATCCGTAGTAGGGACCCCATAATCAGTGGTAATTGGCACATATCCTTGATGTCCCGAAAGGCACCATTTGTTGAGAAATGTCCAAGTGGTCGTATCCCAAAAACAGGGGACCCTTAATTTTGATGATCCTCATTACAGGGACCCCCAAAGGTACCCTTAATTTTGGGAAACCCTAAACTTTGGGTACTGCCCCCACTCAGTAACAGTTGGACAATAATTATATTGTGGTTATATATAGCCCTTAACAGGACCCAAGTACCAAACCTAAACTCTAAACTCTAATCCCTAAACCCTAAACCCTATATATCCCCTATATAATCCCTTTAAGGGTACCCCTAATTTTGGGAAACCCTAAACTCTTCTTCTTCTCCAGGCGCTAAGAGAGGCCTTGCACCTCTCTCGAGGCACAGCCTCGCGCCTGGTCCCAGTCGACCCCGAGGACCGAAGCTACTCCTGTCCTAGGCCGTGATCCCGTACCCCAAACCCCTAAACTCTCTCTCTCTCTCTCTCTCTCTCTTTATATATACCTATATTGTCCCCATAAGCCCCTCTATAGGTACCCCTAATTTTGGGAAACTCCCAAGTAGTTCCAGCAACCTGCTGCGGCGAAACGCCCCCGCATGGCAGCCACACCAAGTCCTGGGTATGTGGAGACTATATAAGGATTATATAAGCATTATCTTGGGATTAAATAGGTATTATATAAGGATATATCCATACCGTATGGGGCTGTAGGGGTTATTCTAGGGAACAGTGCCAAATAAAACGAAAGCCACTGTATTATCCAGCAGGGATTATATCGGGGAGTGGAAAAAACTGGCAACTATCTATACTGATGTTGGGACTGAGGGAAGCAGTCCCGATCTAAATCTTCATAGTAATCCCTGCGTTACTCCCTATGGCCGTTGCTCCAATCTATCGGGGTCCCTATCAGGAGGGTGGATTCATAAAAGTCCTCTCATTCCCCGCGTCCAAATAGATTATAGGGCTTGTAATGAGGGCTTAGCGCTCATAGGGTTTAGGGTTTATAGGGCTTACAAGGTTTATAGGGTTTAGGGTACATCATTGTGGCAAGAAGTCGTTGAAAAGCATAGCACGACAATCAGCATGCCCGCAGAAATACACATAGCGAATGCAGCAAAGCGAGCCCCGAATCACCCAAAATGCCTACAGTACCTTTTCTATCTGCCTGGTCACGTTTGTTGCGACGGGCCTTTGGAAAAGCCAATTTGATGAGTTTGCTGAACTTGGGTAAAAGTGTGGGGCCGAAGTACAGGGGTCGAGTCCCTCTTCCAGGTATGCGTGCCCCATGCTAACGTTATCTGTCCCATCAGCCGAAAAGACTGAGTCCGACGCAATCTTAGGTTGGTCTTGGTAGATTTCCTTCGGGTCACCTGCTTGCAAAAAAGTCAACACATCTGCAGCATGGCGTTTCCACGGGCATCGTGTATATCAACACCCTGTTCAACCCCCCAAGCAGGTTTATACAGTGTAGCCCTGATATGATATAATCTAGTAGTTTGCATTTTCTTTTCCATGATTCCTAAAGAACCCTTATATATGTGTATACCACGATGGCCGTGCAGGTCACACCCCAGTGGCCTGCTTCCATTTCAAGCTCCCGGACTATGCTTGCCATCTTCAGGCCGCTTTGGCTTCAAAATGCTGCGGCATGAATTGCCAACTTCTCAGTCCACGCCCCCTAATATCAAACCTCCCCACCCCCCTAATATCAAATATTCCCAGTATATTAGAATATACTGCAATGAAGCGTATGTAATAGGGAAGATGAACAAGCAGCATGTCTACCGCAGGAATCCCAAGGCCTGAAGCCTTCACACAGAGCCACCAGAAAGACTCTTCAAGCTCACAGGTGCTTATCTTGAGGGCTCAAGAGAGCCTTGGTGCCCAATCTAACTTGTGTAGCCCTCATATTACATAATGTAGTAGTTTCAATTTTCTTTTCCATTATTCCTATAGGATCCTTAGATAGACCCCCATATGATACACGTGTGCATCTCACTTCGGTCCCTTGTTCACTGGGTTGTTGTTAAGGAACTGAAATTAAGTTACCATCTTGGGTATACCGTATATAGTAATTAACATGGTTTCCCCAATATAGTAACTCAAAGTAAATTCCTTGAGAGCAACCCAGTTCAGAAGCAGTTGTGGGAAGGTTCGCACGTTACCAAGTCGAAGTGCTCAGTGAGGCTGGAGATGTCAGGGTCCTGCAATGCTGCTTCCTAAGCTGTGCGCCTTCTGGCATGGTCATGCTACACAAGTAGTTCAGCTTGTAGCTGCGGTATGATGTAGTAGCTTCCATTTTATGTTCCATTATCCCGATATAGCCCCTATATTACCCTATATAAACCCAATAGGTTGCAGAAATGCATCTCCTGCGAGCTGAGCTGCAGCGGCATATTTGCGCGATGCAACATTGGGCTGGACCTCCACCCAAGAACACACCAGTTCATTCTCACAGGAGTGCCCATTTGCCCTAGCAACTTTGAGAGGCACAGAATAAAGCTTGCCATCGTTACCGTGAGTTCAAGCAGGCAAGACATGCAGTGTCAGCTTAGATCCGACAATAGTGGCAGTTTCTGAACGTGACGCAAACCACGCCTGTATAAGAGGCGCATGCTCGTTGTCACCGTGCCGCCGTGAAATCTGGGCAGAATGGAACAAGGCCTGCAGCAATCTGGTCTGGAGGCTGCCGTTAATGCGAATGAGCTTACTTCATCCCACAAACGCATTGGCTGAATCTGCTGCGGCTTTGCCTGAGTAATATCTCTACGGCGCACTGCTCCCCGGACGAGACCAGGAGTCATTGTCGGACAAGACTGTCAACAGAAACACCTGCCTGCCTTAATGCCATTATCCCGCAGTCGCCCAGGTTCAGCAACGAGACGACATCCTTGCTGGGTATTGCATAGCTTGTGCTTCTGCACAGCACAGACACACTGCTCACCGAAGTGCAATTGGACGAGGATGCAAATGTCTCTTTCGAATCAGCAAATAGGAAGCCCGCAAATTGAAGCAGGTGGTTTTATTTTTTGCCGCAATCTGAGATGTGGACTTGCTGCAACTGCCCTAGAAGCAGTGTACAGCTGCCTTCGAGACTCCTCGGGCTAAGGTTGATTGTGGAGAAAGGAGCATTCGCAAACCAATCAGGCAGTGCCGCACCCCTATACTGGGCTGCTGTTAAGGAACTTGACGTATACTACCGTAATATGTATACATATCTAAGCACCACGATATCTATACATATTAGAGTAAATAACGTTGAATCCTCATTAGCGTAACGAAATTCATGTTCCTTACCAGCCTGTAATGTACTGCCACTTTACGAGCTGACTGAGAGCTCAACTTTTCTCGAACGGCCTGCACATGAGACCGAGCATGCCCTTTCCGCAAGGCAGCTGTAACAAGAGGATTTCAGGAACCCCAACACCCAAACATGTTGAGAACCCACAAAAAAGGGGGTGGCAATAGTACTTTCCTGCCGGGCCCGAAAAATCCCGGAAGATAGCGTTTGCTTTAAAAACAAGTTCGGAGCCCGAGAGGGTCTAAACAAGGTCCTTCGGCAATAAAAAGGGGGTGGCAAGAATACTATTGACCATCCGAAAATATCTCGATCTTAAAAGATTCCCTTGTACTTCTACTACTAGTACTACGAGCTGCGCTACCTGGTCCTACTGCAACCCTTGGTTTAAAATCACAACATTAAAGATGAGATGGAGGTTCTACCGTGATTAATTATGACCAGTGACCAGGATTTAGTTAGAGGATATTGATGTCCCCCCAACCCTCCCTCATAATGGAGAATCAAATGAGAAAAACGGGAAAATGAAATGGAAAGAACACTGGAGAGTACCTGCAGTTTTGGCAGGACAGTGTTTCTTGAGATCCAGAAAGAAAGCATGTCGGAGGTGAACCGATCCATGGGACCCGTGAATATTCTCGTTTAGGGAAATCCATCTGGTGACATCTGGTGACATCTGGAGCGGGAGACTTTGAGGTCGGTCTGCAGCTGCAAGCACAGCATGCTTGGCTTCAAAGTAGCCCCTCGTTTGAGTCTGAAATGGATCAGAACGAGAAGCTTCAACGTTACAGCTCGGACCTTCCGAGCACAGCAACCCACATGCGCCGCACATGCGCCGCAAGCCCGTAGGTGCCTGAAACGCTTCGAGTGCCACTCCGGGAAGGTCTGGGCGTTGCATGGCGCTGGCGCGTTGCCTTCCAAGGTCTGAGGAGGTTGCAGCTTCAAGCAGGATCCCTGAAGCAAGGCGAACGTTTCTGTAGTGACTCCCAGGACGGCGCCTCATGCACTCAAAAGCGCTGTGAAGCCTGAAGCTGCAGTTGCGAACAACAGAGGCAAGTAGGAGATGGCAGCTGAACGCGAAGTACCCTTTCTTGATTCTTTGCTTATGGGGCTAGAGGCATCATCAACAGCACGTAAATGCTACAGTGCCAAAGCCACAGTCCGCTCTCAAGCAGCAGCGGCAGCAGCAGCTCATCCCTCAAATGACTGGCACACACAACTGGCTCGCACATTGGAAGTGCGGCTGAGGCAAGGGCAAGGCACGGGAAAAAAGGCCAGCATCTACGCCCTTGCATCATGCCATGGGCAAGGAGCAGCTTCAACTGACCAGATTCGTTTGAAAATTGTTGTCAAAGAACTTACTGGAGGTTGACCTGGCATGCTACGATGGCGGATGGCCCCTGGGAGGCTTTCTGCTTTAGATCTTCAAATGAATACAAGGCACCTAGGCACTAAAATGGAGTTTCTAGTTCTGGATACGCCCAGGAGTCAAGGGCTTTGGGCTCCGTGCGCGGTCTGCCCAGCCGCCCACGCCATCTGCCAGGCCAAAAGCAGAGATTGGCAAAGAGGCCTCAGCGGGACACTGTGCTAGGGATCCTCATGTGCTTTTGGCATACTAGATGAAAGGCCGCTGGGCTATTGCAATTGAAGCGGGAGTTGCCCAGGAATTCGTGATTCGAGCGTTGCCTTTGGTATTCTGTATCGGAAGCAATCTTTCGCAGGAATTCGGGCCTTCATTCAACGTGCTTCAGGCTTGTGCTGTCTGTGCCTCTCATACTACTTGCTGCTCTATCGGCTCCACAATTCCAAGTGCCATCATGACCTTGATGCTATGGTGCCGTGCTTGCAGACGCTCCGAACCAAAGGTACATGACCATCTGAAAGAGCACGAGCGGTTCAAGCCCACGTAAGGCTTGCAACGATTCGATGGATGGACACATGATATTCACAGCAGGAATAGCTTGGCTGTGGCAAATCGCAACCAGACTGGTGATAGCAGGCAGCATTCATGCTATTCGGAAAAGAAAAAAAGGGGTCTGAGCTCTGAGCAAAGAAGGCATCTTCACCTCTTTTCCCTTCCACCTGCAGGGTGCTCCATAGGGGAATTCTCAGAATGATCACATTTTAGGGTCGCATTTTAACACTATATTATACTGTAGCAGACCCTACTTCTGAGAACTCCCATATGACAGTGGGAGAAAGGCGAGAAAGGGTTTGCCAATAGGGTTCTACTGAGGTCGCCATCCAAGGGCAAGCTCAAGTCCATTCCGTCCGGAGAGTTCCCAAAAGTAGGCCGCCCTGTGGTACCAGTGGGCACAAAGCCGAACGACCCACAGCACCCTACAGAATCCGAAAAACCTTCTAACACGATTGCACGACACTAAAGCTTGAACCCTGCAAGCCCTAGGTAATATTAAGGGCTCTATGTATGTATATATATATGTATATGTATGTTTACAAGAAACCCAAATCCCTAGAATAAACTCCCTATCTCCCTGAAGCCCCAATTCCCTTTGCCCTCAGGCCCCCCGAAACTCCCCTGAACCCTTTGCAGCCTTTGGGATGCATCCGGCACCAAGGCTCAGTCGAAGCCTCCTTCAGGTTGTAAGATTCAGTGTGTAGGGTTGGGGATTTAGGGTTGAGGGTTCCGGAGAACAGCATAGACAGAGTGGCACTTGTAAGAGGGTAAGTGCATTCAAAGATGACCATGCCGCCATTGTTAAACGCACAATGCTGTTGCTGGCTTGAGAGAGAATGCTTGTTTCACCATGAAATGTCAGAAAGGGCATGAGCTGTAGGAAGAGCTCATTGCGCCCGCCGCGCAAAGTTTGTGCACCCAGCCAGGGCTTGTTAGGCAGAAGCCGTCAAAAGGGTGTGGTTCCTATAAGGGGGGAGGGTTTCCCCAAATTAGGAGCCCAGCATGTCGGGGGTACATGCTTCTGACTTCTGTCATGATCGCTCTTGGCTTCGTTGAGTTGACTGGGATCAAACAAACAAAAATTGAAGGACACCCAGGAAGGCATTGATATGCTTGTCACTGTGGGGTTTCTCGAAGTAAGAGAACTCTGAGGGACCAAGGCCTATGGAGAGTGTTAAGGTCCCTACTGAGGGTTCATCGTGACCTTTTTGAGAAATTTCCCAAGAACCAAGACCAGGCTTAATGGCAAGACAGCAGGACACCTTCTTAAGGCTAGATTCGTAGTAAACAAGTACCTGTAACACCCTATGAGCCAAATAACAACCAAGTCCCCCTGGCCCCCCAGTAGTCACCCCTGAAATTCTACCCGCTTACCCAATTTGTCCTTGGCTGGGAAGCGAAGGACCTGCCAAAGCTGCAGGTGAAGAATCAAACACGCCACTCTGCTTGGTGTTTCTACAACAAGTTATCGATGCCCCAGTTTTCAGGGTCCTGATATTGGAGATAATTATGAAGACTTCTTTTCTCTGTGGGAGTATATATATATATATTTAGGTAGACCGTTAGACCTTGACTAATCTTGATAGATAATCTGCTCCTATGAGAATGAGTTGCTGAGGCTCTCATCTGCTTTCTCTGGGATGGTGGTATCCCAGTTTCCTCATGTAACATCCATGTATCTCATGGTGAATATGCCCAATTAGGGCTTGGATGAGGAGGAAATAAGCCCTTGTAAGGTGTACCCGGCCCTGAATAACATAGTAGTTTCCATAGTCTTTTCCATTCTTCCGTTACTTATTGGGGTAACATGGAAGTGTCCGAAAATAGGGGGACCCCAAAAAAGGTACCCCTAATTTTGGGAAACCACCAAATAAGGACCGAAAACAACAGTTCCCATTTTCTTTCCCTTTATCCCTATATAAAATAATCTTGGGAAACCACCCTAAGCCCTAAACCCTAAATAGTAATTTCTTTTCCATTATCCCAATATGACCCCAATATAACCCTAATATCACCCCAATTTATTGGGGTAACATGGGGGCTTTCTTTTGGAGTCCCCCATGAATCCCTCTCAGAGCCGGCGAGCCTGGCTCCGGTAACGCGAGTCAAGCTTTGCTGACCTTAGCTTGACTTCCTGGTTCTTAGTAAGGGATATGGGAGTATATCAAAATATAGGAATTATATAAGGGAATATGGGAATATACCCCCTGTATAATTCCTATATTTTAATATATTCCCTTACCGGTTCTGCGCAGGGAATATGGGAATGTAAACTCTTATACCTAGTTCCTACTAAGAGCCAGTAAGTTGAGGTACCGTTGATGCTGGAAAAAGGCTTTAAATTGGCGCCAATTCTGTTTTGGTGTGTTCTTAAAGAGTTCCTTGAGGAAGGTGCTGTTCACTCTCGCAATTTGGTCATCGCGTTCGTCGTCAACTTATTATTGTGTAGAAACATAAATGACAAGACTTAGATGTTGCGGCATCTACCTCTGAGCCAGCAACCTGCGAAAAAGCAAGGGAGCCCTTAAACCCTCACGCCACACCACCCCAATCCCCAATCCATCTCCTCCCCCACGATTCCATAAACTCCAATTCTTAATTCTTTGACCCCGAAAACCCATGACTCAGGTGAAGGCCAAGAACTCCCAAACCACTGCGGCAGGCTGCCATCAGGGCCGGAACAGGCCAACCGGTTCTGTGCCAAACTTGGGATCCCAGTGTTGTAAACGCCCATACAGTAGGCACATGTAGCAAACATATGTGGTCCAGCTGCTGAAGTAGGTTCCCCCAAAACTCGTGGGAAACGACAGCTTCGGCACACCCCGAGGCTTTCTGGCTCACTGTTCCTGACCAGCTGCAAGCGCTATCCAGTACTATCTGTTGCATCGACCAGCTTGCCTGTCGCTTGCTCAGAGGCATGAATACAACAGCTGACAAGTCTGCAATGCACCGGGCTTATCTACAGTAGTGTGATCAGGAACTCAACTTGCAAACTGTTTACGTCCGAAGCACGTCAAGTACTTGCTTGCCTGAAGGTGTTGCTGAAACTGCATGCTAAATGCTGATAGCTCTTCTCATATACCTTGCCCGCGCTAACAATCTGAACCACGCTGCAAGCTCGCGCAGCACGAGGGCAATCAATCAAGATCTGTACCGTCGGAATGTCTCAGCACTGCAGGGTGACGTCTAGGGCCTAGGGTCTGACAGCTTCTACATTTTCGAAGCCAGCCACTACCAGATTCAAACACTGGCGCATGTCGTTTTGGGCCGGCATCCCTGCCTGAATCAGCGTTATCTATCTCAATGGCTTTGTTCTGCCCTTTGGCGGAAGATGTGCAAAAGCTTCGCAGGGCACTGCTCCTGATGGCACGCTGCTGGCAGGATATGAAACGACCCCGAAGCAGCGAAGCTCTTGCAGATGCTCAGCATCTTGCGGCCGCTCACTTCCACACCTCGGGCTGCGAATATCACGCTGCTTTGGAATGTGTGGAACCGGGCTCTAGCACAGCTGCGGAGCAATACCAGTGACCAACAGGTACAGTATGCCAGTATGGATTGCCGAAAACATTTGCAAGCCATCTGTCAAGGCACGCTTCGGATTTCAGCGGATCCGTCGGCGTTGATGACGCACTGGGAGTGCATCTTGACCTTGCCGGCCGTGATTCCGGGGAGTAGTTTGCCTGCTCGACTGCAAATCTCCTTGCCTTGATAATGCAACTCCCCACTCCCTGATAATAGCAAACATTTCCTCTGAGGTTCTGGAAGCTGGAAAAGGGCCCTGGCTCCCTTCCACCCAGGCTGCATCCACTCCCACCTTGCTTTCACAGCCAGGTGCTCGTCATAACAGCCAGACTGAACAGGGGTTGGAGTGGACTTGTTGATCGTTCCAAGGGTTCAGCATAGCAAGGAGGTCACACGCAACATGCTGCTTGCTTGACAACTCTGCAAATGATGAACTGCATTGGGGCTCTTCTGCTAAAGCCATTCTAATGGCCAAAGCCACGAGCATCTGAGGTGAGCTGGTCTGATCGCATTTCACGGGTAAGATGGGTGCGACTTCCAGTCGTCCCAGTCGATTTTCATTG